AGGGGCAGGTCTTTGATGTATGTGTTTGCTAACAGCCATTATCTTGGCCGTCAGATAGAATGCAATGCTTAGTTGGGGGGAATCTTAGACAGAGTTAGTGACCCAGGACCCTTGTCTGTAGGGAGCGAGAGCAGCCACCCAGGTTTGCACAGCCTGGCTCTTTTGAGTATGAGTATGCCATGCGCTGGAAGGCACTCATTGAGATGGAGAAGCAACAGCAGGACCAAGTGGACCGCAACATTAAGGAAGCTCGGGAGAAGCTGGAGATGGAGATGGAGGCTGCTCGCCATGAGCACCAGGTCATGCTAATGAGGCAGGGTGAGTATAAGCCTATAAAGTCTTAAAACTAGAAGAACAAAATGACAGTTTTTAGGGGGTTATTTATATTAATCAGTAGAGAAAGGCCTAAATCTCTACTTTTATTCTCTGAAATATTTTGTTGATCTTGGTAGGCAAATGAGCTTGGAGATGTGACAGAGAATACTGGATTCTGTGGAGAAGGAAATATAGGTTTGACTTTATTTTTGGAATCTGGATACCTCGGACAGCCACTCAGGGATTATATTCCCTTTGCTTTCTGGATCTTTATTTTTAGAAAATTATTGGGTCTATGTGAGGAGAGTGAAGAATACTCTGAATCATTTTGTTGTTTTTCTAGATTTGATGAGGCGCCAAGAAGAACTTCGGCGGATGGAAGAGCTGCACAACCAAGAGGTGCAAAAACGAAAGCAACTGGAGCTCAGGTAACTTTCTTGAACCCTGTTTTCCTGACAACTCTAAAAAGAAATACCTCAGTTCTGCTTCCTACCACCACGCTACCTGGTGCATTTGAAATATGTTGGCAAATATTTCCGGACTTCTTCTCAGGTTATCCCTTTGGATGGAGAGATTTTCTAGCTGCCCATGGCTCTAGGAATTACCTGGGGCTGCACTACAGAGGAAGCAGCTGAGTGCTGGTCTCATGAGGCCCCTTTGGGAGAAGAGAACACATATGGGTTCCGTTAGGGCTGGGCACATTTAACAGTGAGTTTCCTGGGGAGCTATGATAGTTTTCAGTAGGCTCTTGATCTTCTTGGCAGAGTCCTTAATTAAGATAGCCTGCTTAAGTTCTGGAGTGCCTGTTCTTTAAATACCTTGGTGACTCTGGTCTTAAATGTCTTGATGACTTTCTATAGGCAGGAGGAGGAGCGCAGGCGCCGTGAGGAAGAGATGCGGCGGCAACAGGAAGAAATGATGCGGCGACAGCAGGAAGGATTCAAGGGAACTTTCCCTGATGCGGTATATCTCCCTTGTGCCCATCATGTATCAGGCCATTCATGACTTGGCAAAACCACCATGAATTGTCCACTAAGGACTACAAAATACATCAGGCTCTGACCAATTTTTCCACGTTATGAAATTCCTTTTAGAAAGAAGAATTCATAGGAGGGAGAGGTAAGGTTTGAAGGGGAGCTCATGTAGCCTCATAGGCAATTCAGGACGAAAAACTGGGGCCACTGTGCTGTTTAGACTTAGTGACTGTAGGATGAGATATATCAAATCCTGTGGCCTCCTTGACTAGTCTTCTACTGTCCTTACAGTTGTTGCACAGGTTGGAGACCTAGGAGAAATCAACTCTCCCTCCCTCTTTCTCCTCTCCTGTTTGTAGTAGGAGACTGGTGTCCTAGTATCTCTGCAACTTTGAACTTACTCCATAACTAGCAAGGAGCTGTTGGTGTTTCTCAGCTTGGTCCCACTATTCTTACCATTCCATCTACTCCCCTTAGTGTGTGGTCCTCAATGGACTGTGGTAGAGTGCACTACTGTCATGGATTGTCTTGAATATTTTTTGTTTTTCAGAGAGAGCAGGAGATACGGATGGGCCAGATGGCTATGGGAGGTAAGGACTTAGGAGGTTAAAGACTATCATTTCCTTTTTTGTCTGGTCTCTGGTGAGCTATATAGCTTCTCCAACCTAGTCCAGATTTAAAGGACTGACATTTCTGGGAGTATCATTTTTGGGGAGTGACATGTCTTAGTGCAGAAGTCTCACTGAATTGTTTCCTTTGGTGGCATAGAAAGAGACTTAACAATCTCCAAGCCCTGTACTGATTACAATACTCTGCTTTAGGTGCTATGGGCATAAACAACAGAGGTGCCATGCCCCCTGCTCCTGTGCCAGCTGGTACCCCAGCGCCTCCAGGACCTGCCACTATGATGCCAGATGGAACCTTAGGATTGGTAATAAACTGTAGGGCATTACAGTAACTGGTAGTAGGAGAGGAAAGGGCTTTGCCTTCACAGCCCCTGGAGCTACCTTGATTTTGCTACAGATAACAATCTTTAGGATTACTGGTATCCATTAAATGTAGTCTCAAGAACTTTATTTTTTAATCTTGAGCAAACCCAGGCTCAAGCTATACTTTGTCTAGGAGTTAAGCAAATGACTCCCGTCTGCCTGGCCAGTCTGATTGACTTGTTTAGCTGCTACCCTGATGTGCAGATTATTTTTTGAAAGGAAGACAGTAAAGTCTACTGTAGATGTTATCACATAAAATAGATGTGAATCCAAAGGCTTTATGGCTCATAAAATCCTGAGGTGGTTTTGATTCTAGTGTTACAATGCTTGGATTAAAACTGGGAGCCCTAGTGGCACAGTGGTTAAGTGCTCAGCTGCTAGCCAGAAGATCAGCAGTTTGAACCCTCCAGCCGCTCCTCGAGAGAAAGATGTGGTAGTCTGCTTCCATAAAGATTTATAGCCTTGGAAACTCTTAAGAGGCAGTTCTGCACTGTCCTGTAGGGTTGCTATGAGTCAGAATTGACTGGACGGCATTTTTTTTTTTTTTAATGCTTAGATTGCTGAAGAGTGATGGCCTGCCCTTGTCCAGATAACCTAACTTAGGAAAAAGGACTTGGCTAGAATTTAGCCCGAGTCCCTGGGTGGCACAAATGGTTAATGTACTCAGCTACTAATTGAAAGGCTGGCGATTCGAACCTACCCAGAGGCATCTTCCAAAAGGTCACAGCCATGAAAACCCTATGGAGTACAGTTCTACTCTGAAACACATGGGGTCAACATGAATCAATCGACTTGGCAACTTTTTTTTTTTGGTAATTTGTTTTATTTTTTGTTGTTGAGAATATACACAGCAGAACATACACCAGTTCAACCATTTCTATATGTACAATTCGTGGGGTTGCCATGAGTCAGAATCGACTTCGGCATCTTTTTTTTTTTTGTAATTTGTTTTAGTTTTTGTTGAGAATATACACAGCAGAACACACACCAGTTCAACCATTTCTGCATGTACAGTTCAGGGGTGTGTGTGTTTCAAGAATTTATCCAACCTAGGAATTTAGTACATAATATTGCCTAATAGTGAGAAATGGGGATGTAAAGGTAGGATGGGTTCTAATTCAGGCAATCTTCTTTTCAAGGGTATCCACTAGATTTGTTCTAAACAGGCTTGGTCACCCCTAGCATCAGGAGCCTTATTGAATAGTTGGGTGGAAAGTTCCTTCCCAGTTAGCTTTTACTGGCCTCCAGGGGAGGGAGTACAGGTGGGTGTGAAGCTTAGGACAAGGGTTCTATTGTAACATTGCTCTTTTTTCTCTTTAAGACCCCACCAACAACTGAGCGTTTTGGCCAAGCTGCTACAATGGAAGGAATTGGGGCAATTGGTGGAACCCCTCCTGCATTCAATCGTGCAGCTCCTGGAGCTGAATTCGCTCCAAACAAGCGTCGCCGATACTAATAAATTTGCTGTCTAGTTTCCCAAAACCCGTAAAAGAAGGACCCTTTTTGGACTAGCCAGAATTCTACTCTGGAAGAGTGTTAGGGATTCCTCCCAATAGTTGAGTCTTCCCTGCCTGTACTACTCTAGGGAGTATGCTGGAGGCAGAGGGCAAGGGAGGGGTGGTATTTAACACATCAGTTCTGTGTGGTATATTATTTAACAAATCAATTCCATGTGGTGCATTCCTGAAATCTCAAATACAATGAATGTTGAGGGCCTGGGGGGAACCATGGCAAAAATGGATCCAGTTAGAGCCCCATTAATCTTGATCATTCCATTCTTTGTCCATCCTGTTTTCTTTGCTTTCTCATCCTGAACAACTTCAACCCCAGAGACAATGCCACATATACCACAAAAACCAAACATCCCCCAATGACCTTAGCCCCATTGCTGCATTCACTCCCAGATCAGAATTTAGGCAAATGTCCACAGAGGTCACAGACAACATGCCTACGGTTCTGTTATATCCCATATATTACCCCTTCATGTCCTAAAGGAGACATTTTCTCTTATAGATTTTCATTTTAGTCTATCTTTTAAAAAAATCTTGTGTTAACTTGCCTTCATCTTTTTCTTGGGTGAGGACAACCCAGAAATTGCCCTTTTGTGTCTATGATGTTGCTATTCACAGCTTTTCTTGATAGGCCTAGTACAGTGTTGGGAACAGGGTTGCTGTATGTTGAAGGTCTGACAGTAGCTCTTAGCCTTGCCTGTCTTAGGTAGTTATGCTGTGCATTTTTTATTGGTGTATCATGTTTGATTTGTCCCTGATACATTAAATTTGGAGTTTTCCTGATAAATGGAGCAGTAATGCAGCATCAACTTATTAAAATACATTTTAAGCCTTTTAATTTCCTGTGCTATTTTTGAAGGGGAAGGGAGGGTGGAGGGTAATTCTGTCTTAGGAGATGAGTACTATGCTTTATAAGGGTAATCCTTATTGAGATTTTGATTAAGGTATTAGTCATCCTTCTGGGGAGAAGGTGGGGTTAGATGCATACTGTAACTGAAATGGTTGACAAGGATCAGTGTTATTGGGACTACACAGAAGTAATGAGAATAGGAGCAAAGCTGCTGCTTTGAAAGAGGGGAAGAAAATGGGCTGGAGGAATTGGGGTATCCTCATTGAGCTGGGGTGTATCCCAAAGTTGGTATATTCTGAGCAGCTGCTAATATGTCAGTGGCTTGGGATTGGCATGGTGAATCTAAAGCTGAATAGTGGTTAGCTGACCTCACACATGTTCTAAGCCCTACTCCGGCCTGATCCTTTTTTCCTGAGCCTCAGAGCTAAAATGCTCCTGAGCTCTTCCTTGTTGCCTGGGAAGACCAATTGAAGTTCCCTTGCCCATGTTAGGAGGTATACGCCTACTGAACTAAAGATAGAAACAGCTGGCCCTTCTAGGCAGCTAAAAACCTCCAGACTAAGAGGTGTTACCCACTCAGCAGCCAGACTCCTTGAAATACCCTTTCTGTAGTTATACCAACGCCTCTATGTCTCTACTCTGCCATAACAAAGGCTGTGGGCAACGCTTTGACCCCAATACCAACCTTTCTGGTGAGTAATCCTGACCTTGCTAGGGGTTCTGTGGGTGTTGGGTGGTCAGTTGTAGGGTAGCATGGTAAAGGAGCAGGGAAAGAAACTTGGTGTACCCGCCTTAGTTTGGTCTGGATGATCTTCAGCCTTCACCGATACTTTCACATTATGTGGAAAGAAACCACAAGGATATAAACCTGGGGAAGAGGTGAGATAATGATACTCGATACAGTTATCTTTCCTTCCTTGATCCTCCCCTCAACTGGTGTCCAGATTCCTGTTGCCATCACCCTGGTGTCCCAATCTTTCATGATACACTTAAGGTGAGGAGTAGCTGATGGGGGGATAGCAAGATCATTTCCCAAAGGAAATATACCCAGGAATCTAAGCTGAGATGGGTCTCTTATTATTAGGGTTGGTCCTGCTGCCGGAAGCGAACTGTAGATTTCTCTGAATTCTTAAGCATCAAGGTAAATCTTTTTCTTCCTTGGATTCTTCCCCTGATAGAAGGATTCTATCCCTAATCCTTATCTCCTTATCTATACTAGGGCTGTACTATGGGACCACATTGTGCTGAGAAGCTCCCTGAGGCCCCACAACCTGAGGGCCCTGCCGCAAGCAGTTCACTTCAGGAGCAAAAACCTCTGAATACGAGTCCAAAGTCAGCAGAGACTTTGCGCCAGGAGAGGCCCAAGTAAAGAGGAGGTTCCCGGGTTTTTCCTATATTTATGCATCCTAGGAGTGATTAAAGAGTCATTGAGATTTGGGAACTAGGAACCAGAGATGTGAGGAGGGCCAGGATGGTGTATATTCTGTGCCTTAGGGAAAATTTGTGTCCAGAAATAATTTCCTTTGCTCTAGGGTGGTTTGGGGTGGTGATTGGATAGATGAGTCAATGGATTAGATAGTCCCTCACAAATACATACTCAGTATGTAACACAAGAGGGGTTGTTGACAATGATGTAATTTTTTTAAAAAAAGAGCTTTAAGATAAGTCTTGCATCAAGAAAAGCACATGGTATTGGCAGCCAGGAGGCTGCAGAGGAGAATAATTTTGTGAGCATAGTATGAGCAACAGAAGAAGATCAAATAGAGTCTACAATTAAATTATAAAGGAAGGAGAGGATGAACAGAGGTGAAAGTAGAGGTAAAAAATCTGAGATTGTTAACTACTAGGGTCTAAAGGGCTGGAAAGAAAGAGGAAATGACGTGGTTCTGAAGAGCAATGTGGTTAGATTTAGAGCAACTGAGTGGATGGGCAAGAGAAGCCCTGGGGATTTCCCCAGGGTTCAGGAATTTGGGATGTCCACAGAGATGGAAATTGGCAATGAGGTTGCTGCCCAGTACCTCCAGTCCTGCCGCACTTTCACCATACTTCTTTGACTCCATTAGAACTGGTGGGAGTCTTGGAGCTGGTGGTCATGGTTAATGGGACAAGACTAAATCACCCCAACCACAACTCCTAGGTCAGAGTTGCCTCTGAAGCTGCTGCTGCTAAATATATCCCAAGCCCTGGAAATGGCATTGGAACAGAAGGAACTAGACCAGGAACCTGGGGCAGGTAGGTGGGCCCTTAGTAGGACAGTCCTTGTAGACTGGAGTTTAGTGGATGTGGCCATTGGGTAGGGGGATGGATAGGTTCTTGACTTACTTTCCCTTGCCCAGGACTTGACAGTAGTCTGTTCCGGACTAGTTCCAGCTGCCAGAACCCAGGATGTGATGCTGTGAGTGAGAGTTTTGGGGGCTCAAGCATGTGACTGAAAAGTGCTACACCTGAGGGATGACTGGGTATAGATATGAGACTGAGTGAGGTACACCTTAGAATGACCCGATTCATTTTCTGATTCTCCCTTATCCTTCTTAGGTTTACCAAGGCCCTGAGAGTGATGCTACTCCATGTACCTACCACCCAGGAGCACCTCGGTTCCATGAGGGGTGAGGGAGGGGACTGGGTAGGCTGTAAGGTTTCTCCCAACCAATATTGGTCATAACACGGGAGTTGGGGTTTGTGGGGAGAAAGGAAGATTCAATTGAATAATCTTCCTACCTCAGGATGAAGTCTTGGAGCTGTTGTGGCATCCAGACCCTGGATTTTGGGGCATTCCTGGCACAGCCAGGATGCAGAGTTGGTAGACATGACTGGGGGAAGCAGGTAAGCCCCAACTTGCCTGAACTCTTGATTAGAACCCAATCGTAGGGATAACCTCTCCTCCCTGTACCTCATGGCCAAGCTTTCTACCTTGTCCTCTTTGTATGGACCGAATAAGATTCTGCTCCCTATCCCTCAACAGCCCAGAAGCTTTGCAATATGATGGAGTATTAATCTTCTGAGGCTTACTGTCTCCTCTCCACCCATACCATGAGGACTCGCCTTGGGTTAAGAGTTCATTCTTAACCATCCTCATTTCACATCTTATCTTTAGCTACCAGCATCTTGCCGCCATGATTGGCACCAGACAGATTCCTTAGTAGTGGTGACTGTATATGGCCGGATTCCACTGCCTGCACTCAACTGGGTAAAGGCCAGTCAAACGGAGGTGAGGAATCATCTGATGCTGGATGGGAGGCTAGTGAATTGGGTGTTGTTACAATCTTACAGGCAGAGTTACTGTGTGTACTTAACCTACAGGCTCCATGGTTCCCTGAGAGGATGGTAACGCTATCAGGGCAGGGTTGTTTGGATAACCCTTGGATGTAGGGATCACACCTCTGGCCTGGTTCTTTGCCATAATGACTTGTTCTGACCTTCTGGGGTTGTTACTACCCCTGTAATTCTTTTCTTTCAGCTTCATGTCCACATTGTCTTTGATGATAATCGTATGTTCCAAGCACAGATGAAGCTCTGGGGGGTAAGTGAAGTTAAGTGGGCACAAGAAGGGGAGGCAGATGGGGTGAAAAGAAGGGTTGGACTGGAACGAATTGAGGATGTCTTGAGGGAAGGAGTTGTAGTGGGAAAGTGGAGGTTTTCTCTTCATTTGCTTTGATATTTTCTTTCTCTCTCTGTGTGTCTCTGTCTCCCTTACTATATTGTCTTACTCCTCCATTGGTATTTTTTCCTCTTTACATTTTTCTTTCTTCTGACCTTTTTCCCTGTCTCATTCATCACCCCCCCCCCCAATTCCTTTGATTCCCTCATTCTCTCTTCTGTGTCCCTCTATCTTTCCCTCCTCCTCAGGTCATAAACGTGGAGCAGAGCTCTGTCTCCTTGATGCCATCTCGGGTTGAAATCTCCCTGGTCAAAGCTGACCCAGGATCCTGGGCCCAGCTGGAGTACCCCAATTCTCTAGCTGAGAAGGCTAGGGCTGGGGTTGGGTTAGAAATGGATAAGGAAGAATCTGAGGATTCAGATGATGATCTGAGCTGGACAGAGGAGGAAGAGGAGGAATCTATGGGGGAATAGTGACACCAGACAGCTGAGTGTCTACATAGGACCCCAATGACTCCTTTAGGACCTCAGAGACCAGGATATGGTTGGCCATGTGATATGATTAAGCAGCAGGGGGCTGAAGGAGGGGAAAACAAAAGTGTCCAAAACATGTTGTTTTTCCCTTAAATAAATCTTGTATTCTGCAGAATTACATAGTGTCATTCTCTCACCTCACTATCTAAGATCATATTAATTCCCCCCAACCTCTATGTGTGTTCAGCACATGTGTGAAAACAAGCACAACCACATTTGGTCTATTCTTCACAGCCACCAGGTATTTACTGAATACTATGTGCCCAGGTATATGTTAGGTGGTTTAGAGATATTTTAAAAACATAAAATTTATTCATTCTTCTCAAGAAATTACAATCTGGCTGGCAAGCCAAGTCTAATTTGCATAAAATAATAATAAACATTATTAGGCCATTTAACTGAGTATTAAATTGTACAGTACAGTTTTTAAGAGCTGCAGGAGTTGAGAGAATGTGGATTAATGTGGACTGGATTACTAAGGGAAAGCTTCATGGAAGAAGTACATTTTTTATAGCTTTATTAACATATAATTCACATATTAATACAATATATCCATTTAAAGTATACAATAGTTTTTTGTATGTTCATAACTTGTGCAACCACAATCAATTTTAGAACATTTTCGTCACTGCAAAAAGGAACCCTGTACCCATTAGTAGTCACTTCTCACATCCCCCAAAACCCATAGCCCTAGGCAACCACTATTATCTACTTTCTATCTCCATAGATTTGCCTATTCTGGACATTTCATATAAATGGAATCATACAATACGTGTTCTTTTGTGACTGGCTTCTTTTAGCGTGATGTTTTCGAGGTTCATCCATGTTGTAGTTTATATCAGTACTTCATTCCTTTTTATGGCTGCATAATATTCCATCGTATGTATATACCACGTTTTAGTTATCCATTCATCAGTTGATGGACATTTGGATTGTTTCTACTTTTTAGCTATTGTGAATACTGCTGCTATGAACATTGGTGTACAAGTTTTTGTATGGGCATATATTTTGTTTCTCTTGGCTATATAACCAGGAGTGAAATTGTTGGGTCCTGTGGTAACCGTTTAACCTCTTGAGGAACTGCCAGATTGTTTTCTAAAGAGGTTACACCATTTTACATTCCTGTCAGCGGCGTATGAGAGTTCAAATTTCTCCATAACCTTGCCAACACTTGTTATTATCTGTTTATTTTTTAATTATAGCCATCCTAGTGGGTGTCTCATTGTGGTTTTGATTTGCATTTCCCTAATGGCTAATAGGAGTCCCTGGATGGTGCAAAAGTTAATGTGCTGGGCTTATAACTGAAAGGTTGGAAGTTTGAGTCCACCCAGAGGTGCACTGGAAGAAAAACTTGGCGCTCTACTTCCAAAAAATCAGCTGTTGAAAACCCTGGGGAGCGCAGTTCTACTCTGACATGCATGGGTGAACGACAGCGGGTTTTGGTTAATGGCTAATGATGAGTATTTTTTCATGGGCTTATTTATCATTTGTATATCTCCTTTGGCAAAATGTCTATTCAAATCCTTTGCCCATTTTTAAATTGGGTTATTTGTCTTTTTATTGTTAAGTTTAAAGAGTTTTTTTTATGTATTCTGTATACAAGTCCCATATCAGATATATGGTTTGCAAATATTTTCTCCTGTTCCTTGATGGTGTCCTTTAAAGCACAAAAGTTTTTAATTTTGATGAAATTCAGTTTATCTTTTTTTCTTCTGTTGTTGCTTGTGCTTTTGATGTCATATCCTAGAAATCATTGCCTAATTCAAGGTTATGAAGATTTATACCTATGTTGTTTTCTAAGAGTTTTATAGTTTTAGCACTTAGATTTAGGTCTTTGATCTGATTTGAGTTAATTTTTGTATATGGTGTGTGGCGTAGAGGTCCAGAGTTATTCTTTTGTATGTGGATATCCAGTTCTCCCAGCACCATTTGTTGAAAAAACTATTGTTCCTCTGTTGAATTATCTTGGCACCCTACTTGAAAATCAATTGACTTTAAATGTGGGGGTTCAGAAGTACATTTTGAATAGAAATGTGAAGAATGGGAAATTTGGATGGGTATGAAAGAGTAGGGAAAGCCGGACTGGGGCAGAAGGTATTTTATTTTAAATTGCACAAGTAATACATTGTCACTGTAAAAAAACTTAATGCAGAAGTATGTAGATAAAAGGTCAATGTTCCTTTTTAGCCTTCCTTCAAGTGTAGTCAGTCCCTCTGATATTTGTAACCACTGCTAGCATATTAGAGGGTATGTTTAAGGGAGATGACGAAAAAGTTAAGTGGAGTGTGGCTAGATTATGAAGAGCATAAAATCCAAGGTAAAGGAGTTTGAACATGATTTAGAAGAGAATAGGCATTATAGACGTTTTCTTTTTAAATGTTGATTCTTAATCAGAGGAGTTGTATTTCTTTTTTGAGTCTCCCTTGAGTCAGAGGGTGTCAGCAATCTGGGAGAATCAAACTTTAAGAAACACCAAACTAGGAAGCTCACCAAACTTCAGATGATCTCAAGTTCTTTTCATAGCACTTTCATAGGAGCATAAGGTCTCATTGGGAACTAGGAGTAATATAGGGGTGGGAAAATGGACATAGGCAGTGAAAATGAGGGATTACAGCATTGAATGGCTAAGAATTTGCAGGTTGAGGCAAGACTAGAGGATATTAGAAAATGTGTCCAGGGGTATGACCTCTACCTCACAGAGAAGTTTGATCAGAGGTAAAGGGATTTCCCTGGACATCCAGGGTATTCCAACAATTCTGGATCTGCCCACTGTTCTCATTCTATGGATTTGAAGTACAAATAAAGTTTCCGCTTTGAACTGGACCCTTCAGGGCCCTTCCTAACTTCTGCACCAGGTTACTCTTTTTATTGTGGTAAAACATATATAACAAAAAGTTTGCCATTTTTAACTGTACAATTCAGTGATATTAATTACATTCACCATGTTGTCCTACCATCACCACTATCCATTTGCAGAAGTTTTTCATCACCCCAAATAGAAACTCAGTAACCCTTCAGCAATAACTCCCATCCCCATTCCCCAGGCCCTCATAACCACTAATAAACTTTTATTATACATTTTCTTATTCTAGATCTTTCCAGGTCAGTATACCTCAAGCACAGCCACTATCCTTCTGTCATTGGAGGCTTGCATGTTGCTGTGATGCTGAATAGTTTTCAGTGGAACTTCCAAACTAAGGCAGACTAGGAAGAAAGGCCTGGTGGTCTATTTCTGAAAAATCAGCCAATGAAAACCCTATGGATTACAAGGGTCCAATGCTGTTGTGCATAGGGTCGCCATGAGTCGGGGGTTGACTTGATGGCAGCTAACAACAACAAAGATATTTCACGTAAGTGGGAAGCAGCAACTTTTGATTTTCCACAGCGATTTCATATGGGTAGGGGCTTTGGTGAATATTTTTTTTTCCCCAGAGGTGTAAACTGCATACAGAAAAGTACATAAAATAGACTAATCTTAAATATACAACTTGATTAATTTTTTGTATATATATCCACCCTACCACCTTTGTGGACTTTTTCCCCCTATCTTCTTATCAAAATCAGGGGACCAACAATTATCCAGAATTTCAGAGATGAGGAATCAAAAAATTTAAGTAACCTTTGTTGTATATAAACTTGATATATAAAGTTTCAAACTTACAGCATTAATAAAGCAGGGTACTAGTTTATTTTGTATAGCCAAAGCCTAAAATGTAAGAAATTTTCAGGCAAGTATGTCACATTAATAATAACAATAATAACCATACCATTTCTAATACATACTACATGCTAGGCACTATGATAAGTGCTTTGCATGCATTATCTCATTTAATCCTCCAGTACCCACCATCAAATCTACACATTTGCTCACATTAGCACAAATCCTCTCCCTACCTCCTTTTACACTTCTCGTTTCTTACGGTCAGGGAAACTATGCTTTGTATATGGAGTCCCTGGGTGGTAAAAACGGTTAAGCACTTGACAGTTTGAACTCATCCAGAGGCTTCCAAAGACGATCTGCTTCTGAAAGGTCACAGCCTTGAAAACCCTATGGAGAAGTTCTACTCTGAACACATGAGATCGCCATTGGTCAGAATCGACTCTATGGCAAATAACAACAACAGTATCCCCTCACACCTTCCCAGAAACCATACACTATTAATTTATCCCTTCTCTCTCTTGTTTATTTAACCTTTCGCTCTCAATGGGATATTTTCATTGACATTAAAACATTCTTAAGTCTCTCCAATCTTATAAAAAAAATTTGCCATGAGTTCACATCCCTCTTCTCCAGCTTCCACTTAACTCCATTTTCTCCTTTGTAACCAAACTTTTTGAAATAATTATACTCTTTCTCCATTTCCTTCCTCCTTTCACAACACACTACAATCTGACTTAGAACCCCATCAATCTATGGTGATAAGGTCACCATTGATCACCAGGTTACTAAATCCAATGGATATTTTCAGTTCTCATCATACTTGACCTCTCAAGCAAAGTTTGACACTCCTCATGATCATTTCTTCCTTGGAATACTTTCATACATTTGCTTCTGTGACCTATCACTCTTCTTGGTTGTCTTTCTATTTATCTGACCATTCCTTTCAGTCTTCTGCAGGTTCCTCCTTTTCTACCTGGCCTTTTAATGATAAAGTTCCTCAGGACTAGTCCTAGGCTTTCTCTCTTTTTCTTATATAACTCTTTTCTAGATGCTCTCAGTTATGCCGTGACATGTAGATGACCCGCACATTTTTATCTCTAAGCCATATCTTTCGTCTGAGGTCCAGATCCGTGTATTAAAGTAATAGTAGCTGACACATATTTTGAAACAGTGTCTGGCATAGAGTAAGTACTATGTGTTTGCTGCTGTTGTTATTACTACTGCTACTACTCTTTTCACGAAAGCTTTCACCTCAGCCTGTTAGGAAAGTTGGGATGGTTTTTGTTTGTTTGTTTTTGATAGGGGGGACATATCTCTAATATCGAATTTTATGTTTCAGTAAGAAAATAGGATTTGCTTGACAGTCAGGTTTTGCTAGTCTGAAAAGTGATCATGGACTCCCTGGGTGGTACAAATGGTTGCTGTGCTCAGCTGCTAACAGAAAGGTTGGAGGTCTGAGTCCACTCAGAGGTACCTCAGAAGACAGGCCTGGTGATCTACTTCCGAAAAAAATCAGCCATTGAAAACTCTATGGAGCACAGTTCTACTTTGACACACATGGAGTTGCCATGAGTTGGAATCGGCTGGACAGCAACTGGGAAAGTGATAACATTTACCACCACATCATTGTATCAGCTTCAGGATTATCCACTTGGCCAAGGGAGTCAAGTATATACAGAGTGTCACTGTGCTAGGCACTTTTACCCATAATATTTTGCTTAATCCTCACACCTTCTCTGTGAGGTAGGTATTATTCCAGCTTTTTACAGATGAGGAAACCAAGGCTCAGAGAAGGAAATAGTGTGCTTGAGGTAATACAAAAAACCAAAACCAAACCCGTTGCTGTCGAGTCGATTCCAACTCATAGCGACCCTGTAGGACAGAGTAGGAACTGCCTCATAGGGTTTCCAAGGAGTGGTTGGTGGATTCAAACTGCTGACCTTTTGGTTAGCAGCTGAGCTCTTAAACACTGTGCCACTAGGGCTCCAACGTAACACAGCTACCTATTAAAGCCCCAGTCATCGCTAAGAGCTGTCCTAGATACATCTGAGGACATCCAAAACCTACGGACCCAACAAGGATCTTAG